AGCTGAAGGCTTTTAACTACAGTTTGTGGACTTCCTGATAGTAAAGAATTACAATAGTCCAGCCTTGAAGCAACAAATGCATGGACTAGTTTCTCAGCATCACCCCTGGACAGGAGATTTCTCATTTTTGCAATATTCTGCAGATGCACAGGGTTTAGAATATTCCCTTCTAAACCTTATGCACAGTTAGCCTGAAACGCTTCACTATTAGCATATTTTGTTGGTGGATATTTTATTCTACATTTGAGATGAAAAACCATTTAGATACCTGCATTGTTAGTTTCTCATTTATTAACATGGTTTTAGATTTTCCAGGATATACCCTTCTATTTCAATGCTTAATTAGTAGAAATAAATATTACTTGCTTGATGTTTGGTAGATTTTAATTAAACGAGACACCAATCAGTGTAATCTTTTTAATATACAAACCATAAACACATTTTTAAAACTCTCACATAACAATACTTAATATGCCATTCAGCTGTTATTCAGAGACAACAACTAGATTATGATTATGCACTCAGAAAGACTGATGTCAGATCACTGATGACAACAGATTAGAAAAAAGAAAAAGAATCATTGTAAACCACAATCTGTACCTGACTTAAATCCAATTAAACAATCATCAAGCAGGATGATTTTACAAAATATAAGCATCAATTCAATGTAGAAAAACAGATCTTGTCTTACACAAGCATGGGTGGCTATGCAAACAGATTCTGTACCTTTTCTGTTATACATTACATTCTATAATAAATAACTTACAAATATCAGTAAAACAGGAGAAAAAAACTTCAACTATTTGACCCATTTCGCTGCTTAAACAAGATAAAATATCATAGAGCGTACCTTAACCATAAAACAAATAAATCTTGGCTGTTTGTTCATAATGTGCTTCCTTCATCTGCAGTCCTCGTCAATATATCAGTACGGCTTACTATCATTCTTTGAACGCTTCAGTTGAACCTTCAGCCTTTTCATCCCAATCTGGAAGCCGTTCATGGATTGGATGGCTGCCTGTGATGACACTGGATTATCGTAGCTCACAAAGCCTATAGAAGAAATATGAACACATCACTAGATACTATGTTAGTACATTTACAGTACTAAAGATAATAATAATATGCATTAATTCTTTCTAACAACCGTAAAGAACTTTCTCACTTTCATCATTCATTAATAAAGCAATACAAAGCTTAAGTAAGAATATAAAAGTTTAATTCATTGTTTTATTGTCAATTCTTCTCTAATTCAAAATAATAGCAATAATGTCCAATGGAGTCATGAAGGAATGTTAAAAACTTAAAAATGTACGGTTTTCAATCATTAAATCAGTAATTAGAACTATTTTCGGCAAGTTTTATAAAATTATTTCTTTAAAAATGATAAAAGATATACAAATACAAATTTGCTTTCATTGTGGGAAAGTTTTGAATTATGTGTTGGGATCTGGAGGTCTGTCCACTTTCTCCACCAGAGGGCGTATTAGATCTCCTGGAGCCGGAGCTGATCGCAACACCTGTCGCTCATCTGCTCATCAGGAGATCCATATTTAAGGAGGCAGAGGACTTCTCTCCAGTGCCAGAGTGTTTGCCAGTTATGGTTAGACAGCTTGAGCCAACCAGCCTTTCTGAACCTCTGACTCCCTGAAAACCTGAACCTGAACCTGATCTGTTTTCTCCTCTCTACTTCCTAGATTGAACCTGTCTAAAACCTGAAACCCA